ACAAAATTCGTGCACAATGATTTGAGTACAATTTTTACAAATCTCAAACTTCAAGCAGTTTCGAACACAGAGTTAACGTTTTCAAGCTATGCTGTCTTTGAAAAGCAAATACCTTCAGCCATTTGTTCTGCGATTAAAATTGCCCCACTTGAGATAATCCCGTTACGACAGCGCTTCAAAAAGCTTTTCAACTACCGTTAGTAAAGGATACCTTACATTAGTAAAAACTGACCTGATAAAAAGTGAATTTGAATCCCAAGATGCTGCAGATATCATCGCTGTCTGCTTTGAATTTTGTCAGCAGTTCAATGAAAAACTTGCGCCGACTTAGCGATGCTTCGAAGCACTCCAGGATGATATCAATCACTCGATTCGGATCCAAATTAAACTGTCCTAAACGAGCCATTGAAAAAAGCTACTTTGTTCAATAACAACAGAACAAAAACTATCGTAATAATCGGTTTTAGGATCTGATGTAAGTAGCGTTAAAAAGAAATGAACAGCCGCCTATTTACTGGGATGCTGCCACATTTTCGCTGCAGGTATTTTCGTCCCCCTCCCCTCTGTTACGACTTTCGAGACTCAAACCAGAAGCTCCTCATCCCTTTGCCTCGGCTTTTTGATCCTTCGCTGTAAGTTTACTTTAAGTGCTCACAACCAGCTCCCAGCTCTTCAGCGACTGTAAGAACGGCCGCAGTAAATACTCCACCATCTGCGGCATTCAGCGTCCTTTGCCGCAGCGTGGAAAGGACACCCGAAAATGCTACATGAGGCTTACTAATCGCAAACGAGGCCAACAATACGTCTTGAGAATCAGATTTCATTTTTTTCCGTGGCCATGTTAATGTCATGCATGCCTCTCATTAGACGGAAAATCTGACTGTTTTGTGGGCACAAAAAGATACTTTCAGCAATCTTCGCTCCACTACTCTCGCTATCACAGCATGCGTTCAGTCTTCCGGCTATGTTACACACCAGCTGTCAATACCTTCGACATGGTGGCAGTACTAAAGACATAAGCATGGAGCTCTTGAATAGAAAATCGTTTGCCAGTCGGTAACCCTTCTGCAAGCTATCTCCAGCACAGATTGCCGCAGATATCTCGTTCCTGACCCAAAAGATGAAACTATTCCCATTTCAACACCATCTGGATGCAGGATATCAACGCCTTCCTTTGTAAAGAGATGATTTTAGGCCCATTTTCTTCGTGTATTAAGGCCCTGCGGTATCCCCAATACATCTTACAAGCGCTGTTTGCGATGACATTCATTTCATTCCTGAAGCGTAATCCAGCTGGTCGTCAATAATGTTCAAGCGAACTTTGTAATCCAGCTTGCGAAGTACCATCTCAATAAGGGCTGTGAAGAAACTGTGCGATTCGAACCCCTTACTATAAGCTCTTCTTCGTCACTAAATGGATTCGAGTGGAAGAAACAGACGTTTGTCAAGTCTATGGTCACATACTAAGAAATTTCCAAATCCTCTTCAATTTTTTCATCTGCAAGAGCTTGTAGCATATCACTCAGCTCTACGTTTTTAAACATTCCTGTGTTTTACATCAGCTGGTTTGCAAAAAAATAGTTTCTCCGGAACCCGACTTGCTCTTACGGCCGCCGTTCATCAAAGAGTTTTGATTGTCGATTAGTAATAATTCTTGCAAGCAGCTTGACAGATCAGACGGTATTTTTTCAGATCTTATCGTCCTTCTTGCAGCAAAATGATTTTCAACTCTTCCCAGCTTCTGCTGGACATCTTCCTCACAACGACGACCGAGCCAGACAGCGAAGACCCAACAAATTCCGTGCCCTCCGATGGTAAAGCGGTTACTGCCGGAGCCTCCCGACTCTTCCTTTTGGAGGGTCTACGTACTTTAGCTTGCTAAAAATTAAAGAAAAATCTTTGGAGTCCGCTATATCAAGCAGCATGATGGCTCCGAAATTTTCTGCTTGAAAATTTAAGAATTTTGGCGCGTTTAGCATATTATCAATCAATATTTTAAAACATGCTAATAAGTAGTGGTTTTAGTACGTATTATGATACATAGCTGTATTCTGATACTGCTGCTTTTATCATAAATCCCTATCAATACAGTGCTTACCAAAACCGATTAGCCTTCGGAAATTGAAAAGATTCTTTAAAGAATTCTTATTTTGCAAAAATGATTTTCTCCTGAACCTATTTTTCCCTTTAACAAAGACAGATCCTGAACTTTTGGGGGTCCTGATGTCCCACAAAACATCCATTTCATAGTATTAAAAAAGCCGGACTGAGCAGTTTGTTGAGGTAAGGAAACGATACCAATAAGTCGATAGAGTCGTGTTAAAGCGCTTGATACGGACAGCGAAGGATTATCCAGGAGTTCGGTGATAAGTTTCGCGTAGCCTTCACTTTCCTCACGCAGCAAATTGAATTTCACTTGTTTGAAGCTGAAATGACTAAAATTTATGCTGGCAGAAACAACCACATCAATCTTCCGGTGCGCAATAAAACTTTAAATTTTTTAACATAAAAACCACTGAAAAATGCAATTTGCTTGGCTCTGATCGATAGATATCTCATTTAGCCGCGATTACTACCCGAGACAAAGTAAACTACCCCTCAGGGCACTTGCATACAGACAATGCTTTCCTTCTAGTATCACTGACAAGCATCAATTAGAGCCTGATCTAAGAGAAAGGCCGACCAATACAGCTATTTCTTCTTATCCTTATCTGTATCCACAGCTTCTTAGCAGCAAACAAAATAATCTTGTAAGAGCAGAAGAGCAACGGCTGTCGCAGCTGAATCCCAGTAACGGTGGAAGCATCACAATAATGAAAACGGTGTTCAAACTTAATCATAGTGATATCTTATTGAATGCATGTGTGCAAAACACTAACAATAGTCTCGTTTTTGTCTTGACAATTCTCGAACGTGTTGCCTGCTCGCTG